GCGAGTCAGACGTATTAACCCATAACAATTTTAATAGCTCTGTGTGCCAATTGTAATAGATGACATAACACTAACCATACCTAACCAAACCAAAGTTTTAATCATACCTTAATTTAAATTCCTGGCGGATGGTGAATCAAGTCCTGGTGTAGTTAACTGTGGTGAATACTCTTGTAGTTCCCACATGTTTTAATTGACTTCACTTCAAAAAGGACACTTGGAAAATTCACTACGGTACCTCGTCGTACTTTTAATGTTCACTAGGAAAAGGGATTCTACGCGTGAAATTTTCTTTAACCTTCAATTAGGTTCACTACATCCGTTAACACTATTTATTTCCATTAATCCAATCAAGTTATGGGCCCATAACACTTCACTTGGCATCAGTGACAAATATCCTCTAATCTCATACGAGTCACATCACCTTTTAACCAATATTTCCCATATATTAACACAACACTTCACGTTACGAGTCCTCCAGCACTTCACAACACCGAACACTTCCACTTATATCAGTATATAACACCGAAAGAGTATCAAGTTTTTAAGGCAATTGTCAAAAATGAAGGAATAATGGACACGTCCACCTTGACTATGTACTGGACACGACTAGCGAGTGATGTGGCTGTCAGCTGCCCCATACTGTACATGTTGCCATATCGCCAAAATTTATTTATTTTTAATTCTCTATCGTATAAATCGTTGTTGATGTTAGAATAATGACGTATGTCAACTATATTCTAATTTATCTTATTACTCTAAAATAAAACCTTGGTGAGCTTTATTGGAAGTAATAAAGAAATAAACAAGCGAACTATCAAACAAGCACTGGAACGACTCTTTACGGTACAACAATTCAATAATTATCTTATCACTCATATATTACCGTTACTATGCGAGATTTAAATTACTTTGTAGCAGATTTTAACGAAGACAAAAACAAATAAATAAAATACAATCAACACGAAAATGATCATAAACGCGTAAGTCAAGATAGAACATAAGAACTTTTATAAGAATGGAGGAAACTTTGCAGTGGGCCTATTGGCCCATACTGGGCAGTCCCGTTTACACTCAACCCCTATTGCTCATATAAGCATCCAACCTCTGTTTTAGTATTCAGCGTATTCGAGTTAATGATGATATTTGGTAACTTGTTCCATTCATCCACTACTACTCTGTTCCAAACCAGTGTTTACCTATTCACTCCTAAATCTAAATTTGTCTAATTTAAAACCATTGTTACGAGTTCGCTCCTGGTTGGATAGTTTGAGTTGTTACGCAGCATCTGTGGTCATAATCTTGGGTGCATTACCAACTAAGTCTGTTGCACGATGGTCTCCACAAGGGAGGGTCTCTGGAACACCTCTCTATACATTTTCTTGCTTATAGAGGGTGGTTGTATTACGATAAGGTTCTAAACTTATCGTTCAACTCTTGCACGTTATTAGTACGGCAGTTTCCATCTAATGTTGCCTCGCATAAACGTTCCAGACATCTGAGGGGCATGCTGGGGGCATATGAAGCAATGTGATGCCCTGTATTAATTCTTAAGCTGGATGGTTCTGCTTTGCCACTGTAACATAGGTTGTATCGAAGTAAGTAAGCAGCTCGGCAGTCTTGTTCGTGAGGTGACTCACGCCATCAGATACCAAGACTGCGGGCAGGTAGGCACCCGAGTCCACAGGCAAAACATGCTATAATTAGCGCAACTCCATGGTTGAGTGGTAATGGTGTAATAGGCCAAGCTGCTGGATCTAACTCCAGGTACTCTGTGTTAGGTGGTAAAGCAGCCCTTGCTCTGTACTTCAAAGTCTGTCACAACAGTCCGCACCTGCAGGTTAAGTCCCAACTCAGTGCAGTGGTCGACGATGGCATCAAACAGCTCTGAGTACACTGCTCGTGTCTTGTTCTGCATCAGAGCATAGACACACGAAACATAGGTTGTGCTGAATGGGACTCGAAGTACGTACACCTGTGTAAACTGAGTTGGTGCCGTCTTGAAAGTGCCATCCATGAAGATGGTCTCTGCAGCTGCCAGCCGATGAAGGCTTTCTTTTGTAGCAAAGGCGATAATGAGACTGTTAGCTTCTGGGCCACTGTCGTAAAGGAGGAACTGCTCTGGGCTGGATCCAAGGGTCTTTTTCCATTCATCCGGTAAGGTGAAGTCCCGAAGACTCTAGAGGCACGGGAGGAGTACGCCAATGGTACCGTGGAGAGTGCTTGGTGTTCTCCTCAGAAGGAAAACGCCTCTGTACAGCCTTGTTTTGTTGGGTAACTGCCTGGGCAACGATATTGCCTGGCTTGTCCAAGGAGGAGGCAGCCTGGTGCCGCATCTGGTTGCGACACTTGTAGTACTGTACATTGGTCTCGTCAGCAGCATGATTGTGGCCGGCCTGGCTCTGGGTTATCAATTCAGTGTAGTGCTAAGACTGCCTTTGCTATAGGTGGAGGGAGGAGAGGCAGTCCACACCATATATAAAAATAACAATACATCACGGAGCGGGGGTCAACTACTAAGCCACGCCAACCCCCGCTATTTAAGACCTGACCTCGTGGTCATCTCTCTCTTAATACCTCCACCAACCAGCCAGTAACACCTTCTCCTCCTCCGCCTGGCTGGTGGTCCTCGCTCCGGCCGGCGAGCATGGCGACCCACAGGCTGGTCCTCCTCTGAGCATCCTCACCAACCAGCTCTCTCTACATCACGCTTGTAACCATGCTGCCTTCCCAGCACCAAGCTGCACTGTACATCCAATACAACATGTATACAGAGAGCACATTGTGAGTTTCCTTTCTCCACCCCATCCTGAGTGTGAACCAAACATCTCATACCCCACAGGGCTTTTTATGTTAGGGGAGTCCCTCCATGATCCTCGTGTCACTAGAAGGATGATCCCCATCTTTTTTTTTCTATTTTTATTGTGGGTTTTTCTGATCTTTCTACAACATGGACCTCCCGTCTTATATAGAACTTCAGTTTTAATTTTGGTAATATTGGTTATTTTTGTTATTTCACCTTTATTTCTGTATATATTTCTATTTTGCTTCATTTATTTAGTTTTAATTAATATTTACTAATTACAAGTTAAAATAAATAAAAATTTGCCAATTGTTCACTCAATTATTTATATAAATTGTATAAGCATTTAATATTTAAGAGAGAGTCACTTTGGTAAGGGAAACTATGTCATGTCCTGTAAGTTTATTTTACTCTCTCCTCTTGGTCACAGATCGTCTTGTTACTTCACACTCTAGTGCCTCTTGAGTTATTCTAAAGGTATAAACTATATTTACTGTGTTATTACCGTACATATGGTGGTCCTGTACATCAGTTGTAATATTAATGAAGGACATCTGTACTGCTGTACTGTACATCAGTTGTATTGTGGCACATTAATGAGGGACATCTCTGTACTGTAATGTTCTGTACTGTACATCAGTTGTTACATTAATGAGGGACATCTGTACTGTACAGTTCTGTACTAATATTTTTCTGTACTGTACTGTTCTGTACTGAACTGTACTATACATCAGTTGTAACAATAAAGAGGGGACATCTGTACTGTATTGTGTACTGTACTAACTCTACTGTTCTGTACTGAACTGTACTGTACTGTACATCAGTTGTAACATTAATGAGGAACATCTGTACTGTACCGTACTGTACTGTACATCAATTGTAACATTAATGAGGGACATCTGTACTGTACTGAACTGTACTGTACATCAGTTGTAACATTAATGAGGGACATCTGTACTGTACTGAACTGTACTGTACATCAGTTGTAACATTAATGAGGGACATCTGTACTGTACTGAACTGTACTGTACATCAGTTGTAACATTAATGAGGGACATCTGTACTGTACTGTTCTGTACTGAACTGTACATCTGTACATCAATTGTATTAATGAGGACATCTGTACTGTACAGTTCTGTACTGTATTTTTCTGTGTACTTACTGTTCTGTACTGAACTGTCAGTTGTAACAATAAAGAGGGACATCTGTGTACTGTATTGTACTACGTACTAACTCTACTGTTACTGTACTGAACTGTACTGTACATCAGTTGTAACATTAATGAGGGACATCTGTACTGTACTGAACTGTACTGTACATCAGTTGTAACATTAATGAGGGACATCTGTACTGTACTGTTCTGTACTGAACTGTACATCTGTACATCAGTTGTAACATTAATGAGGGACATCTGTACTGTACAGTTCTGTACTGTATTTTTCTGTACTGTACTGTTCTGTACTGAACTGTACTATACATCAGTTGTAACAATAAAGAGGGACATCTGTACTGTATTGTACTGTACTAACTCTACTGTTCTGTACTGAACTGTACTGCACTGTACATCAGTTGTAACATTAATGAGGGACATCTGTACTGTAATGTTCTGTACTGTACATCAGTTGTTACATTAATGAGGGACATCTGTACTGTACAGTTCTGTACTGTATAATCTGTACTGTACTGTTCTGTACTGAACTGTACTATACATCAGTTGTAACCGATCGCCCAAGCGGCTTCACGAGCCGATCAGTGGTGAAGAGGATCAAGTAAATAAAACCTAACCCCACTCATTGTTTAGCACAATACGTGGGATTAATAAAAAATAATCGCGTAGTTTTACGTCCTAATTATGAAAATATCTACAGTTTTTTACAGACGAAGTATGAAAATTATCTAATAAATATTTGGGCGTTTGAATAAAGAGAGAAGCTAGTTCTTGTGGTATTTTCGGTGTTTGGTATGCGATGGTGTTTTCTTAAATGAATCATAACCTTTAATAAGTTAAGTAAGGTTTTGAAATTTTTGTTTGGTGACATTAATGTGTTTTAAATTTGTCAATCAAACCGCCATGTCCTCCTCCCTATAAGACGTGAGAATTGACATAGTGTTGAGGTAAACAAAATCTCATCGGGGAAGAGTATGAACACCACGTAGGAGCTTGATCCTCTGGCTACAGCTTTAATAATTGTTGTATTTATTGTTTATAGTTGAGACTTGTGTTATGTTTATACCATTACGAAAGATGAACAAATCTTCGCCAGAGAAATGGATGAAGAAATAATGAATGGCGGAAGGTGTTGTGTATGGCGGACACAAGTGAACAGTAATACTACACCGTCACTAACAAATTGGTAAGTAAAAAGTGAAGTGAAGTGACAGGTGCCGATTATGAGGGTTCTGTTGGGCTGTTTATGTTGATGGCCAGAAAGTTTTCTTGAAATGAGTCGTGTATCTTGTGTTGTATGTTTCGTTTGATGGCTATGACAGTTCCATCATGTAGTGGGTCTTGACTGTTTTTTTGGTAGACTGTGCAGTTAAATATTTTAATTTTTTTCCGAGTTTTTCTTACCATTCGAATTCAGGAGGAGAATATCTGGGTCTATGCTACGGTATGTGTTGTGTAGTTTGCTTTCTCTCTGTGGGATCCATGCTAAAACATTGTGTTGGATTATTTTAAGTTTGTTTATTATGAAGGCTGGTGCCTAGAGCTGGTTTGTGCCATTTTTTGCTGACCGGTGTTCCCCTGACACCCTCCTGTCAGTCAGCAGAACCAGGCAGATTTTTTTTATATGAGGACTGATCAACTCTCTCTCCTGTTGTCTTGTAATGAGTCATCCTTTATTAATTAGTGTTTCAATGTGTGTGTCTTCTAGGTTTATGTCTGTAGTATATGTGGATTTTATCCTGCCATGAGTCTTTCTGTTGAGACTATGGGGGAGCTGTAGTGGAGAACAATCGTAGACCAATTTCGTCTCCTTAGGTCTTCGTTCTCCGTGGTCTTTCTGGGTCAAGGTGGTGGTGCCATAGTTTCTGTTTGATTCTTTTTTTGGAGTGCTGAATTTGGCGGGGTGTTCTGTTTTTGTGGTGGTTTCGTCTTCGTCCGCCATCGTTACTTCCTCGCTTGTTGGGTCAGGATGTATGTCGGGAATAACCTGTTCTTGGGTTGATGTTACTTGATCTGCGGTGCTCTCTGGTTTGTATATACGGTAATGTTAAAAATTTTGGTAATAGGTACGTCGTTTGGGAATGCCATGTCTGGTAGGAAGTTGGCGGCGAACATTTCCCTTGCGGCCTTGGCAAAAGTTCCAGGTCTGGCTATATTCATGATGTGGGTGTGGATTATGGAAGTTATTATTTTTATGGGAAGATTATTTCCAAGTTGCGACAAAATAGGTTGCTTGGGGAGGGGGGTGATTTTTTCGAGGACCTTCGTCGTTTCTTGGGTTAATTTTGTCACACCTGAATATATTCTGTTTTGCTGTTATTTATTTGTTTGTGTTTTTTGGTGTGTACACACACACACATATACAATACAGGTAGAAATTACTGTCTCTAGAACGAATGGCTCCCTATCCCGGCCGCAAAAATGTCAGTAACTTTAGAACTTCCCTTAGATATTTTTGGATACATCCTGGGTATCATCCACGAATTGTCAGTTATTGTTTGGGGAATATTAATTAAATTACTCTAGTAATGGTACAATGTTTCTTATTAGGTTATTGTAGGAAAATGCCTGGTTTATATATAATTTTTTTATCACTGAGCCCGTATAAATGTGAGGAGAGACAGTTAATAGAGAATTGTGATGACTGTTAATGGTATCCACAACAATTAAAAGAGAATAGAATCAGTCTAAAAGATCATGTAAAACTAAAAATATGACACACATCATTTATTGGCTCTATATAGATATGAGAAGAAGAGAGATGTATTAATAACTAAACAAAAGACCGGCATAAATGTAATGTAATGTTAATAAAGATGCTTACTGTATTTATTTTAGGTAAAGGTGTAGACAATGGCTACCGCCAGAAATTGTTTGTCGATTTTCGTTATTTTTCCTATAATACTTATTGTTTTGATGATTTTAAGTATATTAAAAGAAACGACAATGTTCTATTATGATTTTAAGTATTTTTTAAGACTTTTTCGTATCCTACGATCATAAATCCCCTGTTAGTGGGCGGGGCATGAAGGATGAGGGAAATTATGGGGTAAAAACACGGCGAATACAGTACTGATGTTATGGCATTAAAAGTACGTGTCTAGGATCATTTGTAACGATAGAAATCTTTTTCTTGCCTTTAATGAGTCACGCGTGAAAATTTTCCTACTTCGTCATTGTTCGCTGTTGACAACCTGTATAAGTTCTGTACCATTAATCCTGATCCTTTAAATAAAATAGGTAAAGGTGTAGACAATGGCTACCACCAGAAGGAATTGTCGGAATTGGGTGAACTTTTTTCTACATATTAATACACCTTTACAAAATAGCCGTAACTTTGAAGTAAGCTAACCTCTATTTTACTTCAATATGTAAATTGAATGCCCAAACATTGCCCTCTGTTTATGTCACTTGGCTAAATTTTTCTCAACTTGTGAAGTCATTGACGTTCATTACTGGCCATAGTTAGAACCTCAGATGAAAGAATGGATAACATGAAGATTAGGCCCAGCTTATTCCTTCTGGATTACTATATTGAACACCCTAATGCTAACCTGACCTAACTTAACGTATCTTCACTTAGTTACTTTTAGTAAATATAATTTTTGTTTGTTACAGGAGATGTTACAACAAAACTTTGAAAAATTAAACTGTACCATAACAGCTGAAAATGACCAAGTGGAGCCTGGAACAAGAGGTGCCACCACCAACACTGCACCATCACCACCTATGCCAAGGTAAACTAAAGGGGGTATATATAAATTTTTCTACCCATTATGTAAACTCGCAACAAAAAGTATCGGTGCATACTGTAGTGTGAACAATTTGAGACCAGTGACGATAGGTATTGGGAAAGGCAAGTTGTTCCAGCCGTATGTTGGCAGCCCTGATTGTCAGCCATATGGCAACACCTAGTGGAGGGGGGGGGGGCTATGAGGATACACTTACCAACCTTCCCGACATATCACACTGTATGTGTATCTTTTCGGAACTCATCGATCTCACCCTGCACCGATGGGTGTGTATTCTGTGTGGGAGGTTATAGTAAGTGTGGAAGCAGTGGGTAGTGTATCAATAGTGCATCTGGCGACTCGGCCTATTTCAGTTTAAGTGCACACCACACAACCACCTCTGCTGTAAGTATACTTTATCCTCTTTGCCACTGATTATCAATTTGATTTCAACAGAGAATGTTTAGGAAAAATAATGGAAGCATAAAAAGGCAAAAATTATACAAGATAATGAACATCGCAGCTCAGCTGGGATGTGTTGTCTCTCCAGACTGACCCTTGGCACCTGTTGCTAAAGGTCAGTTGGTAGAGGCACACAACCCAACCCCCCTCCCCTGTGTGGGCAGAAGTATTTATTTGTTTATTTATATCCTTCAGATTGAGTTTTTATTTTTTGTTTATAAAGTGTCACAGAAGTGACTGGGGAGAATATAATTTACATTGCTGAGATTCTTTTAAGATAGTGATTAATTTGAATATAAACATTCTATTGTTTGCACTAGACAAATATTTAAGTAATCATTTAGTACATTAGTACATGTACAGTACAGCTGTGCCCTTAGTACAGTGTAGCGTGCCCAGAGAAACAGTAGATGCAAATTTTAAAATATGATGCGCCAGATTGACTCGCACAAAATAGGAAAGATTCGCTTTAAATTAAAACATTGTCCTTAATTGTGGGTGTCGCTTTAAGTCAATAATCTTAAATTGAATCGCTTTAAATCGACATTCTACTGTATAGGTAACTTGTATTATTACATCTTATTTATTTTGAAAGATAATAAACATCTTGTAAGAGCTGATGAGTCAGTTTTTTAACATGTAATATTAAATTGTTGTGCTTTATGAATTGCAAATATTTTCAAAGGCAACAAAGAATCAATAACATTAACACTTGTTTTTAACAGCATACACCACAAATCTGTAAAAAACATTAATTTTAATCAACAGAATTCAACATTAAACTGAAACGGACATCTCTCATAGGTGTGAATCCTCAGAGGCAACCGGAATGCCTTTATCACAAATTATATATCGTCATCTGGCCACCTGTCCATTAAATGACAGTCTCTCGAACCATTTCCCACCTCACTCATACGGGAAAATACTTAATAGTTGTAAAAAAAATCATCACTGTTGTGTTATTAGATTAACTGCAAAAAATAACAAGATGACTAACAATTTGGCCTAAATCAGCTAATAATCAAATATTAGAACATCTTGGCAGCAATGTGTCAACTTATGGTTATACAAAATACTACAGAATACAATTAAATTGGATGTTGAATAGGTGAAGAACTCCAATAATCAGTTCATAATTTTGCATTACTATACAAGATTGACCAACAGTAATTTCTCCGTTAGCTGGGATCTTTCAAACCCGGAAGTCTGATAGCTTTTAGATAAACTACTTTGGATTATTATAGTAAAGAAATGAAGTTTCTAACTTAATTAGAACTGCATTAATGGATTCCGGTAGTTCAGGCTCGAGGAAAACTTCACAAGCACCCAGAAACATTCTGGGGAAGTGGGCGAGTGTCTGTCTGTGCAGGATGTTTAGTTTAGACACTGAAACTTTTCCCAGTAACCGGAAAAGGTTCTGGGGAAAAGGAGTTTTTCCGGGTTTGAGAAAGTCGTCTCGTCGCCCAGAAATCTCTCATCCCCGGAAGTGCTCTGCACCAATTGTGTCGGCTAACGGGGATATCACTGTGTGCACGGTCGCATAGGCCTCCACACAGGCATAGAGCAGTACACTATAGAGCAGCCTTCACACATTTACACTGCCCCCTGCATCTTTTCTTGCTACGAATGTGGCAGAGTTTATTTCTTGTCTTTACCCAGAACCATCAACTCGTCCATTATGAATAGGTTATTTTGCCATTCTTTATTAACATACTGAAGAAAGAATCCCCATTTGCAGGTGACATGATGCAACATCTTCCCGAGGCAGTGGACCAGAAGGTATGACACTGTAGACACTGGGAAGAATACTTTCCTACCATCACCAAGTGGCATCATCAACATAACCAGCCAACTGAAGTTAACCAGAGATGGACACAAACTTCACCTGCTGCTGTATTGTAAGTCCATTGTTATTAATAGCTAAACTCTTAATTGAACATATCTGTACTCAAGGCCATAACTGGGTGTAAGACAGTACAGTAGGCCCTGTTCAGAGCTAAGAAGGTGGATGGATATTGACAAAGTTTTGCATAGAGATGGGTAGATATGGCGTAGGTATATGGAGCGGAGGGTGGAAACCAGTTAGGTCAAGAGATGCACAAGTCTAAATGTGGAAAGGAAGAGAGCCAGGGGTGGTCAAGTTTATCAACTTCCCCTGCCTAACCTAACCTACTAAAGTTAATGGATAGGGAAGACTGCTGGAGATATGATGGAAGATTACAGAGGGACCCACCAAATTCGCAGGGGTTAGGTTCTCAAAATGGCTGTGAATTGCCAAATCAGCGAATAACATTTGCGGACTGAGGGTGGGGGGGATACATTTTTACTTGTGTACAAAGAAATGTATATTCATTTTGTGTTGCCCTTAGGACAATTATTTCTTTTTACTGTATTGTATATATATGTGTGTAAACACACACACAAAACACATACATACAAATAAATAATACTGTAATGGGAAAATACTCTCACAAAAAATAACAAACAAATTTATTAAAAATGTGAGTCCACCCTCAAGTCCGTGCTTTATTATTAAGTCTGTGCTTTATTACTTTAATAATAAAGCACACACTTGAGGGTAGACTCACATTTTTAATAAATTTGTTTGTTATTTTTTGTGAGAGTATTTTCCCATTATTATTTATTTGTATGTGTTTTGTGTGTGTGTTTACACGCATATACCGTATATACTCGTGTATAGTTTGAGTTTTAAGACCAAATTTTTAGGCAATAAATTGGGGGTTGACCTTTTCATGGGTAATAGTTTCGTTAGGTTGAATCCGTGCATGATAGGAAGGGCTAGGAGCAACTTTTAGTTTTAGACATGAAATATATTTACCGGTTACTGCCAGTAAACAATGGAAACGTAAAATATGTACCAATTAGTAATGAACAGCTGTGGAGTGCCTTCAGCAGATGATGCTCACCACCTTACAATAGGCTAACCTACCTTACAGCGTGCGTTCAGTAGTCTATGTTGAAGTTGAACCTGATGACACCGTCATGAGTAAAAACTCGCACAATATTCATTGACTGTCCTTATGTTTTAGTCTTTACCACCATTGGTGAATAGAATTTGTTTTACATTTGTAAATATTATTTAAAACATATATGAACAGTAAATAAGTGTTGCTTTCATATTCATATGTAGAGAAATGACGATACGTTTTCACATGTACGCACTTACTGTTCATACGTTGGAGTTCCCAATCGTCTCTCCTTATTTCTTTACCATTAGTGGTAAGCTACTGCTAGTGTTCCATTTATCAACATTAAATAGCATTACTTAAAACATATATACAGGTAAATTTTCAGCCACCGGCTGCAACTCTATTAATAAACCGTTTATTATTATTATTATTATTTTATAATTTTTTTTTAATTAAGTTCACTACAGCTACAACCAGGGTCTTAATTTCTTCAGTTTCTTATGTAGAACCATCGCCACTCACGAAAACAATGCCGTCTTGTCTCCTCGTTTGTGTTTTAATATTCTACTTATTATTAATGAATTGCATTGTTCATTTCACATATATAAACATTAATTCAATGAAATACATATTCGGTAATAAACAATAATGGATCTTTCGTACATATTCTTAAGATAAATGTCTGTTTCCTTGAGTGCACACGTATACATTGGAAGTAAACACTGACAACAATGTCGTCTCTTATACTCTTGTGTGTTTTAATATTCTAAGTATTAATGAATTGTATTGTTCATTTTGCATATATAAAGATTAATTAAATCAAATACATATTCAGTAATAAACAATAAAGAATCTTTTGTATATATTCTTAAAAAGATAAATGACGCGGCATCCTTAAATGTGCACGTATATGTTAGCGTTCCCAATCCATCTCTTTTTTTTTTGCCATTACTGTACTTTCATTTTCTTTCGTTGTTCAAAAGATGTTACCGTAATCGCTTTTTGAATGGTTTTCAGTTAAAAAAAACTGTTGTATTACAATAATATTCTATCCTAGTTGACTTGAATAAATACTTGAATGGAAATACGAGATATTTTTTATGAAACTACCCGTGTTTCAGTGTAAAGTGCCGTAATAATAAATGGTAAACAATTTGCCTTCGGTGCTCGGTGTTTCTGGCACGCGAGCCTCAGTTTATAGGTTGCAGAGTGTTTTTAGTGAAGGTTTTCTGAAATGAGTTTTATATGCTATAAAATATGCCATTACCCTCAAAAACTTTAGTCGACCTATACACGAGGCATAGCATAAGTAAATGATTTCTTGGTCAAAAATTAAGGTCGACCTATACACGAGGTAGAATTATAGAAAAGTATATACAGTATATACAATACAGGTAGAAAGTACTGTCTCAAGAACGAATGGCTCCCTATCCCGTCCAGAAAATCTCGGCAACTTTAGAACTACCCTTGGATAGTCTTGGGTACATCCAGAGTGTCATCCGCATATAATCAAGGTCTGCGAACTAAAAATCCGTGAATTGACAGGGTATGTTGTACTGTGTGACAAAATAATTGTATCACATCAAAATACTTAAGATAAAAACAATCAAATATGTAAAACTTAAAGGTACATAACAGAGTTGTCAATTATTGTTTTGGGGAATATTAATTAAATTACTCTAGTAATGGTACAATGTTTCTTATTAAGTTATTGTAGGAAAATGCCTGGTTTTTATATATACAGTGGTCCCTTGGTTAAGGAACACAATTCGTTCCAGAAGGTTGTTCGTTAACCGAAACCATTGTTTCAATGGGTTTTTGGGTAATTGGTTCCAGCTCACCGAAAATTAATAAAATACACTTTCTTTGAGGTGTGTGTGTAGAAGGCTCCTGGTTGATGATGATGATGATGAGAATTAGAAGTAGGGGTGGAGGAGAAAGGAGAAGAGAAGGAAGTGGGGTGGAAGAGAAATCACCCCATGCTTCATGCCGCCATTTCATCCATAAAATTTTAAGTTCACTTGGTGTAATTCAAGATTACAGTATTTAATTTAAATCAACACTGCACTGCACTAAATATTATCAATATGTAAAATAAATTTCAGAATGACCAATAATTGTACTCTAAAAACGTAAAAATAGTCCAGTCTTATTACTAGACTTGTCTCATTCTTGCAGCAACACTAATTGGCTCAGTTTCTATTATTGTCCTTCTTGAAGACTGTGAGCGTGAGCCTCGAGTGTTAGTACAGTGATCCCTCGGTTAACGAGCGCCTCGGTTAACGAGATTTCGGTTAACGAGTTACCTTCCATAAGATTCTTAACTTCGGTTAACGAGCAATCCCTCGATTAACTAGTTTTTTACAAGCCGACCTCAACATGTTTTCGCTTGCATTTGGCGGTCCACCAGCTGTAGTATTAGTCCGCCAATACAGTAATCGGTTTTAGGGCTTAAATTCCATACTATTTAGGTAAATATCAAGAAGTTTATACAATTCAATAATTTTAAAAGTTTAATATTAATATTTTTTAGTCATTTTAACAATTATTGAACATAATTGAAGGTAAAGAAACTAGTTTCTGGCACGCCATCCAGCCTGTTAACACACAAACAGGCGTTAGTCTCTCTCTCTTTTCAGTGGAGGTAACATATTGCTTGAGACTCTCTTCAACTAAATGCTTTTTTTCTGTGTTTCCAAGCAAATTATTGGTCATTTTGAAATTTATTTTACATATTGACAATATATTATGCAGTGCAGTGTTGATTTAAAGAAAATAATCTTGAATTACACCAAGAGAACTAAAATTTTATGGGTGAAATGGCGCCATGGGGTGACTTCTCTTCCACCCCAATGCCTTCTCTTCTCCCTTCTCCTCCATCCCCATTCTAATTCCCATCATCATCATCCAGGAGCCTTCTACATACACACCTCAAAGTAAGTGTACTTTCTACATTTTTTGTTGAATTTAGGCAATTTTCTGTGAGCTGGAACCAATTACCCAAAAACCCATTGAAACAATGGTTTCGGTTAATGAGCAACATGCTGGAACGGATTGTGCTCGTTAACCGAGGGACCACTGTAGAGTTACTCCCACGTATTTGGGGTTTTGTTCTCATTGGGTTACAAGTATTACTTAAAGCTACACTTGTGATGTGCAACTCTTATATAAAATCCACAACATTTCTCAGTCTGTCTTCCCTAGGTACTTTTTAATGAGGCTGTCTGTTTATTTCTTATTGTTCTCTCATCACACGTTGTGTTAGTCAGCTGCAGCTGCCACATTATTACTGTGGGTATTGATGTAACTTTCTTGTTAGTGTTTTAGTGTATCGTAAAAGCATAAAATCACTAACACCTGCGATGAACTGATATTCCAGCCCTGGTGTGCCACAAGAAATATGAACATTAGCTATTGCTGAAACTCAACTAAAAATTAACCTAATGTGGATTGTAAATACAAAGTGTTTCTCAGTCATATTTTGTTTTCTTTTAAGTATATTAATAACATTTAGCTTCATTTTCAAAGCAGAATTTAATCATTAATCAGTTATGATACTTTGCAAATACTGCATGCCCTTCAAATTCGGGGGGCATTTTTATTTGTGTGCAAGGAAATGTATTTTCCCTGTATGTGTTTGCCCTTAGGACAATTATTTCTTTTACCTGTATTGTATATATGTGTGTCTACTCACACATATACAGCTCCTCCCCGACTTACGACCACTCTCACTTACGACCTGCCTCGGTCATACCAAAATTTTGTTAAATTACGTATTTTCGAGTCCCAACGTCAGTGATTGCGCTGTGTATTGACAAAATTTTCGTTTGTAATTCACTTTAAAATGGCTGGCAAGCTTAAAAGTAAGAGTTTTGTGGTGTTGAGAAGAAAAAGAGATGCCCATTTTAGATTTGCTATGTATTATTTAAGCATTTTCGACTTATGGCCATTTTGACTTACAACCTGGATTTGGGTCCCTAACCCTGTCGTCAGAAGGAGAGCAGCTGTATGCAATACAGGTAAAGAAAAGCTCCCTGTCCAGGCTGCGAAAATGCCAGCAAATTTAAAACTACCCTTAGACATGCTTGGGTACATCCAGTGTATCATCCGCAAGTAATTGAGGTCTGCAAATTTAAAAGGCATGATGTTTTATTTTTATTTTTTTACTTTGTTACACTTCAGTTAAATAAACTTTTATTGAAGTAATTTTGAAGAAAGCTGCTTTGTACATGTTTTAATTTTTACATAGTAACAGTGCAGTACTTTATCTTAAGTAATATTTTCAGGTTCTTTCTCCATCACTGCCTTAAGTGGACCTGAATTGAGCTGGACCTGATGTGAACTAGACTAAAGTGAGCTGGACCTCAGGTGAACTGGAACTAAAGTTAACTAAACCTGATGTTACTGCACCTGCAAGTAAAGTAGACCTAAAGGACTATCTGGTATTTATTTAATATTGTTCTGGTTGTAATATTAGGAAGGTTCTACCGGCATTCCCTAGTTTTTAAGAGTTCTGTTCCTGAAAAACCACCCCACCATCCCCTCCCCCCAGCTAGAAGGTGATAGGATATTTATGGTAAAGGTGTTTTTTGGCTTATAACTTGCATTGCTGGAATCCTTGCAAGATAGCAATTAAATTGAGTATAAACATCTCACAGTTTGCACTAGAGATAATTTTTTTTAGTCCTTTAGCCAAGTACATTTGAGTACAGAGTGAGTACAGTTATATGTTGCTGAAAATTATGGCTTTTTCACAGGGAAACGTCTGTATAACTATCCCCAGTAGTTAGGATATTATGTACTGTATTTTGGGTGTTTTTTATATAATTATTTATCGTTTTTATACGTTTAGTACATTTGCTGGAAGATTCGGACAGCTGGTCCCTCCTTTTAGTCTTGATCTTTGAGGGTTCACTGTAATTGTCCACAGGGGGTTAATATTTGAAGTTGCCAACACCTATTTATGACTGTATATTGAGTCTTATATAGGGAGAGAGAAAAAAACATTATACAGTAAAGCATTTTCTTTGGAAATTTATATTTGTTGAGTATTTTAACCTATAAAATTACCCACAATATTAACTGCTCAAAGTGGGCAGGGTGTTGAGGTAAAATGTGAGTTAAAATGATAAAGAGAACACCAAACAAACATGGATTAAGGGCAGGAAAACACAGGCTGCTTGCTTCTTCTATTGTCATCCAGGTCCAAGTGACTCACACTCATTACACAATTTCCCAATACAATTAGGTTATTTAACAGATAGGTAAGTGAACAGGGCACCATCTGATTACTCTAGAAGTGAAATGCAACGCCATCTAGAAAGCAGAGGTCACTTCACTACAGTACAATTGCGATACTAGTAAACTGTTCCATTGGCCTACTTGCCTCTGTGTGAAGAAATATTTCCGTATGTTCAATCTGCACGATCACTTGGCAAGCTTAAAGTCATGTCCTGTCGTGTTGGTGGTGCACCATTTATAGGGATGTTAGGTAGGAGGCAGGGTTCCGTTTCTGTGTACCGTAAGCCTCGAATAACGACGGTAATGTGTCCTCCAATATTGCAGTGTAAGGTGAATCGTTGTATCGTGAATCATTAATTACCATTAAAATAAAGCAATAATAATGAGATGCTTTCCCCGGTCTGACCTTTACATAACTTTTGTGTGGCTTTTTACCCTCTTCCCCAAAAACAATACAATTAATGAAAGTCACTATATTCTTTAAATAATGTTTATGAATGGTCCTTATACAATATAAATCAATATAATAAGATCACACAAGAGGAGATGGGACGCTATTGTTGTTGTCGTGTTTACACCTACAATGTCAGTTATCCGCCGGAAACAAAAAATAAGACCCTGGTTGTTGTTATAATAAAATTAATGTAAAAAAAAAATATTTGTTTTAATTAATGTTATTTAATGTACAGTAAAAGTAACCACTGATGTTAAAGAACAACAAAGAGTGAGAGTGGAACGGCAATGTATGCTGAACTTGCGCTCTCAAGGAAACCGCATAATTTATCTTACAAATATGTACAAAAGATTCATTATTGTTTATTACTGAATATGTATTTGATTGAATTAATGTTTGTATATGCGAAATGAACAATGCAATTCATTAATAATACATAGAATATTAAAACACGCAAGAGGAGACGAGACGGCATTGTTTTCGTTCATGTTTCCAACACCCGTGACGAATGACTATGGTTCTACTTCTACATAAGAAACTGAAGAAATATGACCCTGGTTGTTGCTGTAGTATAATTAATGTAAAAAAATGAATATGTATGTATTAGGTAATGTTATTTAATGTTAATAAATGGAACAATAGAAGTAGCTAACCATTAATGGCAAAGAAAAACTAAATAGATTGGGAATGCCATCGTATGTAAGTGTGCACATGTGAAAATATCGTCATTTCTCTAGTACATAAGAATATGAAAGCAACACTTACTACTGGTCATATATGTTTTAAATAATACTTACTAATGTAAAGCAAAAATTCTATTTGCAAATGGTGGTGAAGTCTAAAACATAAGGACAGCCAATGAATATTGTGCAAGGTTTTACTCAGATGATATCATCAATCAGGATCAACTGTGACTGAAGCTTTCCATAAAGATATCATAGCGGTTGCTGAAACTGAAGTTGCTGTTGAAGCTTCTTATGAAGCTGAATTTGATGGTTTAGGACTTTCAATAATAAAGCTGTTGAAAGAACCTTTCACAGCCACTTTCTTATTCTCATTACACATCTTTATGTTGAGGTCATATGTGCTTTTCACGTCCTTGTTAATTTTAATGCTTCGTTCTGTTCATGGATCCACTTCAGAAAATAATAATATGTTCATTGCTTGCTCCATATAATATCCACAGACCTCTCACCTTTTCATATCGTTTTAACACATCTAGTTTCTCGGATAAGGTTGTACTTGTACACTATCTTTTAGCTTTTGAACCAGCACGACCACCACTTGCTCTCTTGCTCATATTGAATAGGGACTCAAAAATGCTGTAAGAAACCTGAGAAAGTTTTTCTCCTGTTCCTGTTTAGATGCGTGAAAACAAAAGGACTGCCAAGCTCCGACTCTTGTTTACTGGTGATGCTCATTACCACTCATATAGCCCAGCAGCTTCCCTTACCCGGCAACTTCTTTGCGCAAGGCGCTCTTTTTTTTTTTTGTTTTTTTTTTTAATACATGTTGGGATTTGGTTATTACTGGTACTCCTTGACTTATGACCACCCGGACATACGACTGCCCCAGTCATACCAAAATTTATTCAAATTACGAATTTTCGAGTCCCGACGTTAGTGATTGCGCTGTGTACTGACCAATTTTTTGTTTGTAATTCCTTTTAAAATGGCTGGCAAGCCTAAAAGTAAGAGTTTTGTGGTGCTGAGAAGAAAAAGAGACACCCGTTTTAGATTTTCTATGCATTATTTTTGCATTCTCGACTTACGACCTGGATTTGGATCCCTAACCCCATCGTAAGTCGGAGACTGCCTATATTTACAGTACAGTCATGCGCCGGTTAACGTACGATCGCATATACGTCCGTCCGTCCCCCCGCCTCCCCAAAAAAACCCACTTCCGTGACGCCTGCTGGACCACCACTCCACGACCCCCTTACGGAGACACGATGATCCTTCCCATACTGGCCAGATATTATGTTTTAAAGGAATATCCTTCCTTAGGCTTTAGTAAGCATTTGCCTCCAGGTGTAATGTTATCCTACATCTATTGAGGATAAAATCTTTCACCTACAAATTGACAATAACACATTTGCTATAATCAGACATATCTAGTTGCCTCAACAATTGCAACCCCGGTTGCAATTGGGGTTGCAATTTCAAATTCTGTGTCATTTAAGGAATAACGAAGTCTCAGGTGCACTGCACTCTTAAGATTAAGAGAAAACGGACTCAGGCGTCCTGAAGCGAGAGAAAACGGACTCCTATGATGGGGGACACAAGCACTCACACATGCCACTCATACTGACAGACTTGACACTCACTTACTTGACAAGTTTTACCAACCATTAGTTGTGTACGTTATCTAGTGAATTTAGTCAATATTTTACAGTACACTGCAACACAGTGGTCCCTTGGTTAACAATGGAACAAACCTGTACTGTACATGTACTAAATGATTACGGTACTTAAATTGTTATGTCTATTGCAAATATAGATTGTTTATACAGGTATTCAAATAAATCACTATCTTACAAGAATCCCAGCAATGTAAGTTATATTCACCCAGGTCGTTTGGGTGGCAAATTATGAGAAGAGCTTAGTCACTCTTAAGTAATGATAAATAAACACGCAGGCCTTCAGCGCCAACTGTCAAATCTTATCTCAAATAAATAAACCAACACCAGACACTCTTGTCACCCCCCCCTCCCCCCCTTCCCACGCTCGCTGGCTACCTCCCTCCTTGTGTTCCCAGACAAAAGATTGGTGATACCTTTATGCTTTAAGGCATTTATTTTATATAATATCTCAGACTAAAGTTAGGAGATTATAATTTGCATTGCTGGAATCTTTACAAGACAGCCAATAATCTTAATATAAACTTCATATATTTTGCTCAAGATATAAAAATTGTAGTACATTAGTGTACAATACTGTAGTACATTTTATAATACAGTATAAAGTTTTTCAACTGTATTTTTGGGTAGATTTACATAAATATCTTCATTTATTTTCATCCATTTACATGCACACACCATACTAAAAGAAACGTAAAAGAAATACTGTAAATGACTTTAGTGCAAAGCTGGAGTGCACATGTACTAATTTGATTACGGTACTAAAATTGTTGTCTAGTGCAAATTATAGGTTGTTTATATTTAAATAAATCAGCATCTTACAAGAATCCCAGCAATGTAAATTATATTCACCCAGGTCATTTCACTGGCTTTTTATAGGAGAGAAGCTTAGTCACTTAAGAACTGATAATTCGTTAGACCTGGGCCTGTGCCAACTGTCAAACTGCTCCCCTCCACCCCACCCCACGCCCCCTCCCTCCCTCTCCCCCATCTGCCCAGTGTTGCTGGAATCCTTGTAAAACAGTGAATAATATTAAAATAAACGTCATGTATTTTGCACAAGAGATAAAAATTAATCACCTGTATCACATTACAGTAGTGATTTAGGAGTAAAAGTGTATACTGTATGTACGATTATAGTATTCCACATACACGTAAGTATAAATACTGTACACAGTTTATGTGATGATCGGACAACGGTTAACGTCACGTTTCCAAGAACGTATCTAGGACGTTAACCGCGCATGACTGTATATGAAAATGTAATTTTATTTTATTTTTATTATAGTTTCGTCATAAATTTGAATAAAATAATGACGTAAATTGAATTGGGTCCTAAATTAACCAGGGTCTTAAATATAAATTGTCGTTGGTGGAACTGTCGTTATCGGAGGCTTTACTGTACAGTACAGTAATCCAGACTGAGAGGTACATGAGATTTGTACAGATTAAGGAGCATTTATCTATCTTTGTGTTAGAAGGTTTGCTTTATAATTCCCTCATTTGAACGGCTTATGGTTGCAACATCGTCTTGACTTACTACCTTCTCAAGTACTGTACAGTGTCGTCTGTAAACTTGGCAATGTGGCTCAATATATTTTCATCTCTGTCATTTATGTAGATCTCAAGCAGGGTGGATCCAAGGATAGAGCCTTGTGCTACACCACTGAGAACCTTTTTCCATTCAGAATGTACTCCATTTATGACCACCATGTACTCCATTTATGACCACCCTGTACTCCATTTATGACCACCCTTTGTGTCCATTCTTTGAACCAGTTGTTAATCCACTTAAAAATTTTGCCTGTGATACAATTTGGCTGGATTTTAGAGGCTACCTGTAAATGTGGGACTTTGTCAAGTGCCCGAGAGAAACCCACGTTCGCACACTTATTCTCAAAAGTTTTCTCGTCCACACATTATATAAAACGGCATACCCACATCAGTTGACAGTCAGGGTTAGTTAGCTCAAAGACTTTGTTTTACCACGAGGAGCAAAATTTAGACCACAACTGTACGGTGCATCCACTGGTGGGGGAGTGCATCCCCCTCTACAATCGAGTTGGAATGTTTCCTATACCTGGATAATCATCCCCCCCTTACAATTAATGTAATTCTTAATATAACTGGGGGAGCACTCTGAGATTCTGAGTTTTCATTGTCTGGTGATTCTATCATTTTGAAGGGACATCCAATGAGAACCAAGGGATTAAAAAAATGAGTTAGTTTTGCACACGGGTTGTCCAAGAGAGGACGCCATTAATAAGTGTGTGTTTTTTTATAAGTAATTGGTGGATTTTATCCTGGTAATTACTTTAGTGATGAAATAAGAACAATTTAGAGTAATGTCAAACTTATTTTCAAAAAGACCAACATAGTCTTGCTAGTCCCTTATCCCCTCCTTTGAGCTGAGATAGCTAGTGACATTGAGGTCTAACTGCTTCGGGTCACATGAGTTGGCACAATAGTGTTGGCAATGCAAGGTCAGCCTGTCAGGCCATACATATTATGGCAGTCCCAGCAAGTCAATTCTGCAAAACCATTGCTTTTTAAAACGATATAAAAGATGTATTTTGTTATGGTTTTGTTCAGAGGCGCATTTCTACAATCACAACAATTCTACACCAGTGACTGGTAAGTCTTGGTCTATGTACAGTAGTCTGTTACCATTTCAAGGAAAGTGAGTAAGTTTGTCAAGCAGGATAGTCTCCCTGATATCCTAGGTCGTATTCACAATCGTTAAGCCACCCGACTGATTGGGAGCGCCGTCGTGTGTGGTTATTCGGAGACGCCTACAGACTCGAAGGCAGTCCCAGTGGATGGGATTCATATTGAGATTGTTG